GCCCCTGAAATCTTCCAGAAGCCAAGCCAGTTGACTGAACCCACCTTATACCACAGTCAAACCCTTAAGGGCATCAAAGAAGATAAAAGCAAAAAATCCATTGAAAGGACAGCAACTTCAAAGATTAAAGGAAAATCAACCCACACAGAAGAGAAAGAACCAGCAAAAGAACTCTGTCAACTCAAAAAGCCAGTGTCTTCTCACTCCAAATGACCACACTAGTTCACTTTAAATGGTTCTTAACCAGACAGAAATGACAGTCTGATAGGATAGGAATGAATCTGTATAGGAATGAAAACCATCAAGATTCAGCAGAAAGTTGAAACCCAATTCAAGGCATCTAAGGAATCCAATAAAACAATACAAGAGCTGAAAGATAAAATAGGCATTTTAAGAAATAACCAGGCAGGGTGTGGTGGCTCAGGCCTGTAATCCTAGCACTTTGGAAGGCTGAAGCTGGTGGATCGCTTGAGCTCAGGAGTTTGAGACCAGCCCGGACAACATGGCGAAACTCCATCTCTACAAAAAATACAAAAATTATCTGGGCCTGGTGGTGTGCACCTGTAGTCCCAGCTACTTGGGAGGCTGAAGTGGAAGGATCTCTTGAGCTGGGGAGGCAGAGGTTGCAGTGAGCCAAGATCATGCCACTGCACTCCAGCCTGGGCAACAGAACCAGAACTTGTCTCAAAAAAAGAAAGAAGGAAAGAGGGAAGGCAAGGGAAGGCAAGGGAAGGGAAAGGGAAGGGGAAGGCAAGGGAAAAGGAAGGGACAGGGAAGGGAAAGGAAGGGAAGGGATAGGGAAGGGTTAGGGAAGGGAGAAAAGAAAGAAAAGAAAGATTAGACTGCTACCATGAGAGGACAAGAGAACATGGTCCCCTTGGTGCGGGCCATGGTGGAAGATCAGGCCCCAGCCTCACCTCAAGGGCAGGGACGGCAAGGAGCATGGGACAGGGGGATCCAGTCTGCGTTGCATCAAAATTTTGTTTTGTATTTTGTTTTTAATTTTCCGATGAATAATTCAGTGGCTATGCCAAGGTTGAAATATTTTTCTGTTTTCAGTAAGATGTGAGAAAAGGAAATGAATTTTAATGAAATGTTTTGGTTTACTTTATCTGAGGCTTCCAGTGTAATGGGATTCCCACGCCCTAAACAGATGTCAGCTGTTTTATCCTCTTGCCTGCAAAAGGCAACAGAGAGCTGGGGCTCCCCTGCTCAGCCCTCTTGCACCCGCCTCCCCTATTTCCCAGATGGCCAGGACTACCTGTGAGCGCAGCACTGGGAGAACTTTGAATGTCCCAGTCATTCAGAAAACTAAAACTGCTAGTGATGATTATGATGTCTTCACAGATGCAGACCAACAGGTCTCCATAGGTGAGACCAAAGCACCTGTTCCAGGTTCCTGAGGCCTGTGCATCCCTGCCCCGCCAGGAGGCTCAGACTTTGGCAGATGGCCTACGCTCTCTGAGCCAACGACTCCCAGGAAGAACTTGAGTGTCATAAAATTCTGAAAACAAGATTTAAGGAGAGGTGGAGAAATGTGGCAAGATCTCTAAGGAGAACGCAGAGCTGTCAGGTGGAGGTGATGTCACAGACGTCTGAAAATCTGCCAGAGCATGAGCTAACTTATAGCTGCAGGCTCAGGACATGTTTCTGAGCAGAAGTTTCTGAACTAAGTTGGCAACTAACAGGCCACATAAATTCCCTTAAAGGGGATTACTGATGGGATTCCTTCTGATTCAATAAAACACCTGCCCAAAATGAGCTGTCATCAATGGATCCATCAAAGGAATGATACACTGAGCCCTTCTCAAGTGTTCGTGCAGTTGGGGATGAAGAGGCGAAGATAACCAGACCCTGCCTGCAAGGGCTTATGAGAATATGCTTGTTGAGACAGCGACTCTCCATGACAAACTGAAGAAAACCCAAAGAACATCTGTAACCAAGTGCTCCTTGCCTAGATTCTCAGCTGCCACCATCCCTGGGGTGTCACCATGTCTAGAGACCCGAGTGAATATCTGAAAAGAAAAAAAGAAGAGTAGTTGTTGAAAGAACACGGCTATAAAAGATTTATGTGGCCACTGGGGGCTCATAATAATTATCTTTTCATATCCTTTGCCAGTTAAGATTTTCAAATCACATTCTGTATCATTGTTCCCCTGGTATGAAAGGGCAAAGGTCTTTGTCCTGGTTTTACTGGTGATTTAGAGCACTGGGATTCCCAATCCCAGCTTCCCAGCAGCAACTATGCTTGCCTTTCCTGTATTGTGAAGGGGTTGTCTAGCAGGCAGAAAACCTGAAGACTGGAGGACTCTAACGAAAGCCACACCAGAGCCTCTCCTGCTCCTTCTTTTTCCCTAGGTCTAGTTCTCCAACAGGGGAAATGTCCCAAGCCTTCCTAGTGGAATGTGACTGTGTCACTCACCTTCCCATAGGTGGCCAGCAAAATGAGAAATGCTGTTAATCAACTTTCAATGTCCTCTCTGCCCAGCGCTTTAATTCCAACAGCCTGTAAATGCTGTTTCTACACTGGATTAGCCCTTCAACCCCACCGCACACGCTGTCTACTGTGCTCAATTTCATCAACCTGCATTACCTAGAGGCCAAGCAGACACCATCATCCTCCCTTGGGGATGAGAAAGTGATGGAGGGGACCTCAGGAGCCCAGCAGGAACAATGTCTGTCTCCGCAGGCTTTGCAGAGATCCTGGAATATGATAATGTGGCGGGTAGAGGCAGGTGGGAGAGGCATGTGTAGATCAGGCTTGAGGAATGGATCTGGTTAGGAAAAATGGGGTCAACAGAGCAAATGAAGCACCCCAGTGTGTAGACAGCTGCAACCAAGGGATGAATGAATCAATAAAAACCTGTAGGAATGTAATATAATGCAGAAAAACATAACTACCGCTTTCTCTGCCATTAGACAAGCTGATTCTCATTTACATGGGAGCAACAAACAAGAAAGACTGGACAGAAAAGCTGTGAAAAAATACAATAAGAAGGAAAATTTCCCTGCCAATAGAACAGACTACAAAGTGTTCATAATTAAAACAGTGAGGAAATGGCCAAGTGTCCACAAAAAATCCAGAAAGAGACCCAGAGACATACAGAAATATATCTGGTGACTCATTTCAGAGGAGGTAAATGTTAACATTTTAAATACATGGTGCTAGGACAAACGGATAACCATCAAAAAGACAGAGCTGGATCCACACCTCACACTGTACATGAGGATAAATTCCAAATGGATTGAAATTTAAACGTGAAAAATGAAATTTTAACAGTGTAGGAAGAAAACATGAACAAATTTATTTGGAATTTTGGTGTAGAAAGGCCTGTCTGATTTTAAAGATCCAGAAGCCATAAACAAAAAAAAAATTGATTATATAAAAATAAAAAGCTTCTAGAGAGGGAAAAATATCATAGCAAAGCCAAAAGATAGGTAAATGAGAAAAAAAATTTTCAACTCATACCTTCTTAATATATAAAGACTTCCTAGAAATTGAGAATATGAAAAACCTATAGCCCAACAGAAAAGAGGCAAAAGATTGGAATAGAGTTCACAAAAAAGAAATACAAACGGCTCTTTTTTGAGACAGAGTCTCGCTAAGGTTGGAGTGCAGTGGCGCAATCTCAGCTCACTGCGCCATTTTTTTTTTTTTTTTTTTTGAGAGATGGTCTTGCTTTCATGCCCAGGCTGAAGTGCAGTGGCTCCATCATAGCTCACTGTAACCTTGAACTCCTGCGTTCAAGCAATCTTCCTGCCTCAGCTTCCTGAGTAGACAGGACTACAAGTGAGCACCACCACACCCAGCTAATTTTAAAAATTTTTTTGTAAAGACAAAGACAGGGTCTCATTATGTTGCCCATGCTGGGCTCTTAAATTTATAAAGGATGTTTGATGAAGAAAATGCACATTTAAAACTACACTGAGATACCATCTTTTATACATCAGCTTGGAAAAATCCAAAAGTTTCAGAACACTCTACAGATGTCTGTGCACAAACCTAGCTCATGGAAAGAAAAAATGGTTTCATTCTTGTAGAAGGCAACCTGGTACTTAAATGTCTAACAGGATGGCTAATGTACTACTGTTGCCTAGTGATCCCACCTCTGGGAATTCAACCACAGCTGGACATGGACAAAATTATGCAAGAACAAGATCTATCATTGTAACATTATCACAAGGTGGAATATTGGAAACATCTCAAGTGTCCATCAATGGGACAGCAGTTAAATAAACCTTGTAACACCATGCAACTGTTAGAAAAAATGAATGAGGGGCATTCTGTATCCTAATATGGAAAATTCTCCATACTATAGTCAGGGGGGAAAGCAAGTCTTAGAACAGTATGCTATCTTTTCTGAAAGAAAAGGGAGAGATAAGATTGCATATGCATGTTGGCATGTATTTGCATAAACAAAACAAGAGTAATACACAGGAAACTAATAAAAGTGGTTATGGGGGCGAGGGATGGAACAGAGTAGCCAGGGGTGGGGCAAGGACTGAGACTTTTGGTCTGCATCTGGTTCCGAAGGGGAATCCAAAGTCTTCTCAGAGGAACCAAGTGGAGAATTAAATTTCAAATTAAAAAAACAGGGTTGGGCACAGTGACAGTGGCTCACACCTGTAATCCTAGCACTTTGGGAGGCTGAGGCAGGCGGATATTTTGAGACCGAGTTCAACACCAGCCTGGCCTCAAATATCAAATAGTGAGACCCCCGTCTCTACAAAAATGAAGAAATTAACCTGGCAAGGTGGTGAACCTGCAGTCCCAGGTACTTGAGAGGCTGAGTGGGGAGGATCACCTGGGCCCAGCAGTCAGAGGCTGTAGTGAGTTGTAATCACACCACTGCACTCCAACCTGGGTGACAGAGCAAGACCTTGTCTCTAAAAACAAACAAACAAACAAACAAAACAACAAAAACAACTAAACAAGCAATCAAATTAAAAAAAAAAAAGAAAAAGTCAATAGGAAGAAATTCAAATGACAAAGAACTTACTCTGAATCTCTGCTCCACCCTCCAGATCTTTAATCTGAGTTCCATCCCTCATCCTGTCAAAACTCAACAAGGAGTTCCAAGTTTGGAGTTGGTGTTTCCTGAGAAAATCAGTTACAGGTGATTTGCAGGTTTAGCATAGCTATTTGTGCAGTCTAAATGTCCAAGCCAGATTTCTACAAGACAGTAAGATTACACCACGACAGGGGGAGCACACATGTATGTCTCTCCTATTTCTGATGTTATGTTGTAAATATTTAAAATAAAGCAATCTGGCCAGGTGTGGCGTCTCGTGCCTGTAATCCCAGCCCTTTGGGAGGCCTAGACGAGTGGATCACTTGAGGTCAGCAATTTAGACCAGCCTGGCCAACATGATGAAATTCCGTCTCTATTAAAAATGCAAAAATCAGTCGGGCGTGGTGGAGCGCACCCTGTAGTCCCAGCTACTCAGGAGGCTTGCTTGAGAATTGCTTGAGTTCAGGAGGTGGAGGTTGCAGTGAGCAGAGATCGTGCCACTGCACTCCAGCCTGGGCAACAGAGAGAGACTCTGTCTCAAAAAAAATAGAAATAAAAATAAATAAATAATATCTAAAAATAAAACAGAGCAATCCTTTATGATATTTTAAAAGACTATGAAAGATGTATTTACAGGGTAGTTCCCTCCATGTTTTCTGAGCGTGTATTGCCGGGAAGGCTCTGTGTCAGACCTCAGGGCCTCCTTGCTACTAGGAGAACCAGCAAAGTCCCTGTGGGCTGGGTCTTCCCCAGTACGCTGTGCTGTAGCTCAAGCCACTCACCTTCATATTCTGTGCCCTGGCCACGCAGGTCTCCTGTTAATTTCTTGCCTTCACCTGTGCTGTGCTAGATACTGTTCACGCTGCTGTCCGCCTTCCCTCACTATCTGACAGGTTGACTTCTATTCACATCTCAGGTCTCAGCTCAAGAGCCTCTCTTCACACAAAGCACACCCATGGTTGCCAGGGGCTGGGTTGGGGGTCCTGGAAAATGACTGCTCAGGGGGACAGAATTTCTTTCTGGGTTGATGAAAATGTTCTGAAATTAGACAGTACTGATGGTTATAAAACTCTGTGAAAATGCTAAAAACCACTGAACTGCAACACTTTAAGAGGTAAATTTTATGGTACGTAAATAATATTAAATCATTCTTTTAAAATCCCTTCTTAACTGGGTGCAATGGCTCACACCTGTGGTCTTAGCTACTTAGGAGGCCGTGGTCACAGGATTGCTTGAGGCCAGGAGTTCAAGATCAGCCTGGGTAACACAGTAAGATTCCCCAATCTCTACCAAAAAAAAATTAAAATTAAAATTAGCTGGGCATTAGTGGCATGCACCTATAGTCCCAACTACTCAGGAGGCTGAAGTGGGAGGATCACCTGAGCCCAGGAGTTTGAGGCTGCAATGAGCTATGATTGCACAACTGCTCTCCAGCCTAGGTGACAGAGCCCCGTTTAAAATAAATAAATAAATAAATAAATCCCTTCTTCAAGGAAGTCCTCCTAGGTACACCTGGACACTCTACCTCAGAGGACTCTGTGACACCCATTATAGCAGATACCACAATTATAAATAGTAATGGTGTTGCTGGTTACTAAATGCAGTAGGATACTGAGGGTGTGGTAGGAGGGGTACACTGTCAATAATTTAAAAACAAGAATAGGCTGGGCACAGTGGCTCTCGCCTGTAATCCCAACA